GGGGGGGGGCTCAGATCGCATGACCGCATGACGCATGCAGTGTTCGAGGTCTTGGAGTTGTTGTGCCGAGTTTGTATGACAGAAGGGAGGGCTCGCAGAAGGCTTTGTTGATGAACAACTCCTTCATGAGCCTAAATGCATCCAGCTCGTCGGGACTTTTAGTAGTTCAGCGAGGTTGTGGCCATCCAGAATTAGACATGTACAAATACACATGTATGTCTTCGTCAGTGGATTAAGGTTGAGGGTTTAGTCTGTGTCACTGCTTCGAGAATTTCTCAATAATCCCCTGATATTGAACCTCCCCCCCACCCCCTAATACTAAATACTCCGAACATATTATAATATACCACAATGGGGAATATTAAAATTTACGGGGGGGGTTTAACGTTCGGAGGAGAGGATCATGGCGTGTGCCCGTCATGGTTTTAGGTTTTAGGATTGTCCACATGCCTAGCTATAGTTCTTATGAGTCTCAATGGCCCTAAACCTTATACCCCAAACCCTAAATCCTAAACCCTAAGCCGGGTGCTTTACAATCCAACGCCTAGAAGCATCTCCGAGGAAGGGGACCAAAGATGCGGGAACTCGTTTTCCAGACAAACTTGTTTAAATCTTCCCGGACCCTTGGGAGGACTCAAACTGTAGATGCCAGTAGGAATTCGTAGAAATCACCCAGTTGTATGTTATATCTCCCTTTCAACACCCAAACCCCTACATAACCCTTTCATGTTTGCGAGGCGCTTACATCTGACTCTTGTGTCGGAGGAGCTCTCCTTCCAAAGACTGGTTCTAGGCCGCCGGGTTCCGCAGTGCTTGTGCTTTCGGGGACTCCTTGACAGCCCCCCCACCAGGATAGGTCGACAAGGTGCCCCTATATGAGCAATTTTCTATTCCTCGTATCCCCCTTAGTAACCCCCGTGATACTCCCCTTGATAATCTTCTATATAACCCCATTGAGGAGTTTAGACTGTAGCTCACATGGCCTCGGTTCGGGAGACAATGTGGCCATCACACGGCTTCATGGGTGCTGCAGCCTGCCAATAGGCCGAAAACGTGTTCCCCCTTTGCATTGATGGCCCCAGAGCCAGCCCGCAGCAGGAGCAGATAATGTGGTCCTCAGGTGCTCATCTGGCGCCTACATGGTCCCAGACTCCAGAGTTGATGCGGGTTGGCAGCCAGCAGCACAGGTTCACAACGTGTCGCCTACATGGCCCTCACCCGCCCACAGGGCTTCAGGTGAGTAGTATTTTATTTGGGGATACTATGGTACCCATAATATAACCTTACTGTGTTTAACCACCAAAAAAAACGCTACTCATGTGAGCCGCGGCTTTGCAACTCGCACGAAGATCAGCCTGTGGCCTCTACATGGCCGCATGGGTGCTTGGGGTTGGCCTCCTGCACCAGGATGGGCCGATAACGTCTGTGCTTACAATATAATATTCCCGTTATTCCCTACTATAACCCCAATATGTATCCTATTATGATATAGTAGTTCCCATTTTCTTTTCCATTATCCCTATATATATATATATATAGCCCATATGAAGTGTGACATGTGTTGTGTTTGGACCTCGTTCCTGAATCTCGCCACCCGCAGCTTGGGCTCCTTCGAGCAACATTTTCCCGGGAAGTGCAAATCAATTCGTCAAGCGGTCCTAGCACAGAGTAGCATGTATGCATTGTGTTCTCGGGGAGTTTTGTGTGAACGCAGAGCGTAGTATACCGTTAGACATGACGAGGAATGCCCAAACCATTCCTTCGTTCACTCAATCCTTACCCAAGCGGCTAGAATTCTATTCCTTAGGTGGGACCCCCCACCCAGTAATAGTAAGTATAATTGATAATTATTGTCCTCTTATATTCCTATTATACCACTATTGCAGGGTGGGGGATCCTCCTAATCTATTCCCCCTAGGAATCTTCAAGCTTCATCTGAATCCATGTGAATAGTATTTTATTTCGGGATACTGTGGTACCCATTATAGCGTAAGATTATATCCTCTTTTTGGGGTATAGTATTTTATACAATGAATATTATCTTACTGGGTTTAACCACCAAAAAACACTACTCATGTGATGTGCGTGAAAGCCTGTCGAGAATCCGATCTACGCAGGAGCCATCCGTCAGTGTGCTGGAAAAGGATCCCTAAACCCTAAACCCCAGACCCTTTTCCATCTGCCACTGAAGCAACAAGCCCAGAAACTGCAAGGATAAAGCCCAAACCCTAAACCAAAACCCCGATGAGCCATACCCACCAATCCTAAATGGTAGTGTCCAGAACATACGGGGACCCCACTATAGACCCTCCAATGCGAAAATCCTTCTCATGGGCTCCCTTAAAAGGGATCCCTAATTTTAGGGAGAAAACCAAATCTAACTGTGAACTTCAGGCCCTAAACCCTAAACCTTCAACCCTAAACCCCAAACCCTAAACCCTAAACCCTAAGCCCTAAACCCTAAACCCTATTCCCTTTTTTTCCTTGTTGCCATGGCCTCGCCCTCAGCCTCTGGGTATCTGGGTCGCTGCCGAGGCCGCAGAAGGGTTTTGGGGGGGGTAACGACATATTGGTTTAGTGTTTAGGGTTTAGGGCTTAGGGTTTAGGGTTCAGGGTTTTGGGTCGGGGGGCAGCAACATACCCACAGCCCTGTAGGGGGTACCTCTAAAGGAGGGGTTCTATGGGGATATATAGGGATATCTAGGGGTATATAGGGAGATATGATTTTCTATATATAGGGTTTAGGATTTCCGAAAATTAGGTTACCTGTTTTGGGGGTCCCTATAATGAGGTCTATGGTTTTTGGAGGAAACTCCCACACTCCCCAGGGCTGGTAATATGTCCAGCTTTCAGCTTTTTGGGGCCTGAAGTTCCTGGAAATGCACATGGGTGTTTGTCCAAATTATGGCCCCTTTGGGTTCCCTATTAGTTTAGGGTTTAGGGTTTAGGGTTTATTATAATACGGCACCAAATATTTAGGGTACCCAAAAAGGGACTAACATTTTGACAACCACCCACATGTATTAAAAAATGGTGGGTCCTTCGCTAATTCAAGCTTTACATCATATCAATGGGAGGTTGGTTGGAGTATAGGGATTTTAATAGCATTGCCATGCCATACGGTGGGCTTGGGATGCTGCTAGACTGCTAGACCCTAAACTTATGAACCCTAAACCCTAAAAGTTAAACCCCCCAAACCCTAAACCCTAAAACTTCAACCCTAAACCCAAAACCCTAAACCTAGTGCCTTGTTATTTATGTGCCAGCGTTGAATGATGCATGGAGAAGACCTCCTGGCAGGCGTGGAAGTCTTCGAGAAGCTGAACCGGCTGGGCGAGGGTAGCTATGGTACAGTCCCCCGGCTTTGGCTAGAGCCCCCAAAGTGGGTTTAGGGTTTAGGGGTTTAGGGTTCAGGGTTTAGGGGTTTCCCAAAATTAGGGGTACCTTGTTGGGGGTCCCCACAATAAGGACTATAGTATTTTGGGGTCTGTATTGGGGGCCCCTTAATTTGGGAACCTACCAAGCAGGTAAAGTCGAGGTCCAAAACCCATGAAAAGAAAAAATCAGGTTGTTTATTCTACCTACTTTGGGGGTTAAGGTAGTTCAAACAATCATCCCTAGTTTCTGGGCTACATTGCAAAATCTAAAGATCAAAGATCGCATCATTACATCAGGAAACCTCGCTCCTGCACAACGACCCTCGCACCAAACAGCCCGAAAATGTCCCTTAAACCCTGAACCCTAAAGTTCAGATTCCGGAATCTGAACCTTGTACATCCCAGATCCCTCCCTTTAGGGTTTAGGGTTATAACGTTCTAACCCCTATAAGCCAAACAATAACCCCAGATATCCCCATTATTGACCCAGTTACTAAATCCCCATGACCCGCCAAGTAGGGACCCCAAACCCCGGGTCCATATCCTGCCTTGGTTGCGAGATTTTCTTGATTAAGGGGTTTAGGGTTTAGGAGTTTAGGGTTTTAGGGTTTTAGGGTTTTAGGGTTTCGGGTTTAGGGTTTAGGGTTTAGGGGTTTCCTAAAATTGGGGTTGCCTTCTTTGGAGGTCCCGCAAATGAGGACTATTGTAGTTTTTTGGGGTTTATCGGGTTTCCCTATTCTGGGCAACTTCCATTACAAAGTAATCTACCCGCCTTCGCCATCGCCCCCAACATCAAACAAGACTCCCTTATATTTACTGAGCCTTCGCAGGCATTGAAATTCGAAAGCAGGGTGAGTGGGGCATGTAACGTCGGGTGGTTTACATAAATTGAACAGGGGACCCCAAGATAGACCCCAGCATATTGTAATCCTGATTAAAAGGACCCGGACAAGGTACCGCTAATTTCGGGAGCTCTGTAAACCCTATAAATGCCTATATATCCCTCCAGAACCCCCACATATCCCCAATATCCCCTTTATATCCCCTTCAAAGGATTCCTAATTTCGGGAAATTCAATCCCTAAACCCTAAACTCCCAAATCCCAAACTTGGGTCTGCCAAAACAAGGTCTACCGCGCCAGGGATACGGAAAACGGCGAGATCGTTGCCTTAAAGAAGGCCCATCTGGGTTTAGTCAGGTTTAGGGTTTAGTTCCCAGGGAGCCCAATACCCCTCAATTAAAGAATATAGCTTAAATCATATTAGGGACCCTAGTACCATGCAGGGTATATATCTTAATTATGGCGTAGTGGGCTCTCTGGGTTTATTAGGTTCTCTAATGGTCCCTTGTCATTAATCGGGAGGTTGAAGGTTTCAGGGTTTTCGCTTCGAAGATGTTTGTAGTACTTGGTGATTGCTTTTAAGGCGCTTTTAAGGCTTAAGGTTTAGGGTTTGGGGGCTGTTGCTGTGGGTTTATGAGTTTAGGGTTCGTACTTCCTAAGCTATATGAGCTCTATACGCTAATCGACATGTCATCTGTAAAGAGATCCGAAAGTGGGGTCAGGACAATGGCTTGGGCTTGAGGAGCTCCAAAAGGACTATATGACATAGGGCTTGATTCTGGGTCTTGGTGAGTGCATATATGAGGTCTTAGCAACGCTGGTAAAAGTATGTATGGGGTGTCCCTGTGTGGGAGGCCATATAGATATATAATAGAACGTATCCCGAAACCCTAAAGCATGAAAGTCTGCTGCTTCAGGAAGATCTACTGAGAGCGGCCCTGTACACAGAACTTTGAAACAATGACTGCGGTAAAATGCCTTAGGGTCTTATGCGTAGAGTTTTTGGGCCTGGCATGCCTAGGGTAGGCTGGCTGCTTGGGCTACTTTGTGGATCGTGCTGTAAAGTATTTCTGGGAGGGGCCGACAAAAAACCGTGAAAGTCTGAACGTTCAAGTGTGAGATGACAACTCTACACCCTTGTATCCCCTTGACTAACTGGTGCTTAACGGCAAGGGGGAAGTGGATCCGCACGATAAGAAGCCCTTGAAATGGTACCTCTATTCACTCCCCCCACTCAAACCACCAGTAAGTTGAACGTTTGGCATCCTTACCGACCCTAAACCCTAAACCCTAAAGCCCTAAACCTTAAACCCTAAACCCCAAACCCTAAACCCTAAACCCTACCAGGCATTTCAGCCTGATATCCTCACCTAGAGGTCCCACCGATTTCGCATAAAGCATCATCTCTAGTCAAGCAAGACAGAATGCAAGAAGCCTTGCAAAACCGAAGACGCCGCATAGGGTTTAGGGTTTAGGGGTTTAGGGTTTAGGGGTTTAGGGTTTAGGGGTTTAGGGTTTTAGGGTTTAGGGTTTAGGGGTGGGACTACATGGGGATAATGGAAAAGAAAATGGAAACTACTGTAATATATTGGGGTTGTATAGGGATAGTGGAATACTATATTGTGGAGACCCTATGACTTACTGTATATACCCATTATGGCAACTTAATTTAAGTTCCTTAATAGCAACCCAGGCAAGGGTGAGGTTTTCCCTTACCAGACCAAACAACAAGCCCCATCGGCTGGCATGTTGCCTACCACTTTTGCCAACACATCCCTTGCATATCCCTTTCAGAAAATAGTTCTGGAGGAGCATTTTCTGAAAACCCAAACCCAAATGGTCCAGTGAAGCTTTGCTCGTAGGTGCGCATCCACGCTGAGAAGGACACGGTTGTATTCAACAAGGGTTTTTGGTTTCGGCTCATTTCTTAGGGCTTTTTGAGGATGGGCTTTTCAGGCTTTAGGGTTTGTAGGGTTGCTGGTCAAAGCAACTTTTTCGGAGATGAACATTTAAAACAAAAGAGGCCCCTTGGTGTGCACTCATGTATGCTATAATCCTTATTAATTACCAGGAACTCGAGAAAGGGACGCCAAATTTTTGAAACCCCTACACTTGCAATATAATTTTCCTCTACAATGGGGACCCTGCGCAAATCTGTCGAAGGAAGGCTTCCCCAAAAGCTCCTTGCGCGAAATCCGGCTGCTGAAGCGGTTCCTCGTGGCAGATGCGGAGGGAATTGAGGTGTTGAGGTAAAATGGCGGTCTCAAGAATTATCCCAAATAGGGAATCAAACACAAAAGGAACAAAATGAAGATGGAAATTATGTAGCCGGGCTTTACGTGGGAATTTATGGGTGTTATGCAGTTTACAAGCTTGAATAATGACTTGATGCTGCCACATTCCTTGCGAGATTATGATAGACGGCACTTGGTGTCTCTTCTACATTCCGTAGGTATTTGGCTTCTGGATTTGCGGATCTCTAAGGGGTTGGGGGCAGTTTTAGTGACTTCAATCAAACCAGTAACAACAGTTTTCCCGGCCTTTTGAGGCACTTGTGGTGTTAACTAAAGGTGTCCCATTGCCGCTTATCCTGGTATGCAGCCATGGTTGCATCTTAACTGTTCTACTTGGACCCCAAACCATAAACTGCTGAAGGAGAGGTATTGCAGATTTGGGATAGGGAGTTTGGGGTTTGAAGATGGCGCTTTCTGGAGGCCAGCTTCTGGAGGCCAGCAGCAGAGCCAAAGTGTGGAAGTGCGTCATAGGAGCTATAGTTCTAAACTCTTGAAAGGGAGGTTAGAAAGGGGATTATATCGGGAACTATTATCGGGGTTATCAAAGGGGATATTAGGAGTCTAGATTATAGCACAGGGGTGTAGAGCAGTGAGCCTTGGAGATTCTGGTGGGGTGTTGCTCAGGCTTCCAAAGCCCAGAGAGGGGTTTAGAGTTTAGGCTTTAAGGTTTAAGGATCAGGTTAAGGGTAGGTGTTGTTGATGAAAGTAAGCAGCACCTTTGAACTGAACTAAACCCTAAACCCTAAACCCTAAACCCGCATTGTTTGCAGTACGACCTTGCCTCGCTTCCTCCACCTAGATACAGTAATCAGATGCCAGAAGCACATGAGCTATAGTCTCAACTCCTTAAAAGGGGGATATATAGGGGATTATATAGGGGACTACTATAGGGTATATTAAGGGGGCTACTAGGAGTTCAGACAATGGCTCACATGTGGACAGGAACGTAGTGGTTCTACTTTTGCCTCTTCTTATTGGGGCTCAGTAGGGAATATGGGAATACAATATAGAGGGATAATCTTCCCGTATTTCCTACGAACCTCCAGTAAGTCTTTGTAGGTCTCCGGGAATTGGCAGACTGTTGATCCAACTGTCAGGTCTCTAGCTACTGAAAACTGATAACCGTAAGTCTTTGTAGGTCTCCGGGAATTGGCAGACTGTTGATCCAACTTTCAGGTCTCTAGCTACTGAAAACTGATAACCATCAACTCTACACTCCAAATCCTGGGCCCTAAGTCCCCTAAACCCTAGACTATCAAAGCCTTCAAGCACCTAAGGCGTACATCCTTTCACCCTAGGCCCCTCAACCCTCCCGAAAACCTTAAACCCTCAGCCCTTAAACCCTACCAGCCTAAAACTGTATCAGCTCAGCCGAGGCTGCGGCACCCGAACATCGTGGAGCTGCGCGAAGTTGCTTGTGGCAGGCACCGGTTTAGGTTTAGGGTGCTGTAGGGCCTGTAAATGACTACCAAAATTCTAGTCCTACGTTGCCTTCATAATTATGGTAGGTTACTTCAAAATGATATTGGTAATTACCTAGGCTTCTGCATTATTCAAAGACCCTTGTAAAGTGATTCCGTGCCCTTAGTGTTTTGCGTGTACCCCTGGGGGAGGGTTGAGTCCCTAAGCCCCAATCCCTAAACCCTACTCCCTAAACCCTAATCCCTAAACCTTAATCCTTGAACATTGCAACATGGGCAGGCAGCCGGGGAGCGTTTTTCTGGTCTTCGAGTACTGCGAGCATGACGTGGGAGCGCTTCTCGATGCTTTGCCTGCCTTGTACCGTTTTTGGCCAGTTTTGTAGATAGAATATGGCGTATGTGGGGCTCTTATTATAATATACCCAAAGCCATATTCTGAATACTCAAGGAAGGGGGAATTTTTCAGTTGTACAACCCTAAACCCTAAGCCCTAAACCCTAAACCCTAAACCGCAGGTTTAGGGATTAGGGTTTCGGGTTTTGGGGCTTGGGGTTGAGGTACCAGAAGGGCCAGGCCTAGGAAACACTAGTGCTATCTATCATAGCAGTTATAGGAGCTATAGTCTAAACTCCTGGTATCCCCCCAAACAAGAGCTTGCAGAGCAACATGCAGTCCGGCAAATCTATGCAACCCTCCAAATTCCATACTTCTGGTAACCCTAACCTCTATAATGAGGACCTTTGATGAGAGCACTTTCTCGCATTCAGAACCAACCCCACCAATGAGTCCCAAACCCTAAATCCTTAGCCCTAAGCCCACAGCCCACATGAGCTATAGTCTAAGCTCCTAGTATCCCCCTTCAAATTCCCAATAATCGTCCCCTATATAATTCCAGATCCTCCTAGGCTTTAAACCCTACACCCAACATAGCCCCCTATATACACGTTTTAAGGAGCCTAGACGTAAGCTCAAATGGCAGTTTCCCAAAATAGGGGGACCCCAATAAAGACCCCAAAAATACTATAGTCCTTAGTATAGGGACCCCCCAAAAAGGTACCCCTAATTTTGGGAAACCCCCAAATGGGTCCTAAACCCAGGATCTCATGGAGCGGCCTTTCAGCGAGGCCGAGGTGAAATGCCTCACGCTCCAACTTCTGAAGGCCTGCAAGAGTAGCACAACTACTCAGATGATAAGGGGTTTAGAGTTTAGGGTTTATGGTTTAGGGATCAGGGATTAGGGTTTAGGGTAGGATGACGGATGATGGTCACCATATGTAGCAGCAGTGGCGGTAGGATGGGAAGGAAGGGCGAGTAGGAAGTAGCCGTGGTCGGTCATAGTCATAGGCCTCAGCAGGAGCAGTTGCAGTAGTAGTTAGTGGAGTAGTAGTCGTAGTCCTTGTCGTAGTTACAGTATAGTGGAGGTCATAGTAGTAGTCGTACAAGTACTGGTCGTCGTAGTGGTGGTGATGGTCGTGGGGAGGGTAGGGGGCCTGTGTAGCATCATGATTACTGCTGTACTTATTCTTGAATTCCTTTGGCGATTGCTGGTGTCTACTCCTGCAAGAGCCATTGTGTGTAGCAGCAGCAGCACTAAGAATAGCAGTACCTGTAGTAGCAGCAAGCAGGAGTAGGAGGAGTGGTAGGAGAAGACCCTGAAGCCTAAACCCTAAACCCTTAACCCTTTAAACCCTACACCCCGAACCCTAAACCCTAAACCCTATGGTCCTAGGCCCCACCCTGAAGCCCTTGCGGAGGCGGTGGAATGCTTACACGCAGCCTTCGTGATCCACCGCGACATCAAACTGTCCAACCTCCTCTTGAGACTTGCTGGTATCCACTGAGAAGTTCAAGGAAATAAAGGTTACGAGGGAGGCGTTCTTGAAGTTCCTGGGCCCCAGTGAAATCCTATGTCAACGAAGTGTGTTGCTGATTTTGGGCTCCTTGACTGCGAAACGGGAACAACTTGGGGGTGTACTGACATGAAGGCCGTGATTGTTTCAGGCTAGGCGCACTCCCTTCTCTGAGCCGGGTGTAATGCTTCGGGGGTATGTCGAGCTAACCTTTGTTGCAAGGAACGCTAAAACGGGACCCTCAATTTTGCAAACCCCTCTTTGGAGTCTTTCTAATGTGCGAATCTTGTTTTTAAGCACAACCCCCCATATTTACTTCAGTCAAGGTTCACGTACGAAAGCATGCATACATAACCAAAGTGTAACTCCTATTAAGTTATAGATGATAACTTCCGCAACCTACATCAGAGGCTGCAATTGTGTCAAGCCGCGACTTGTGGACCTTTACATGAAACCAAATGCTACGAGAATCCCCCGACGAGAGTGCAATAGGTAGTATGAAGTCTTTCTTGACCCTTACTGTAGGATCCGTCTATTTGTATCTTTCGTTCGGCTCCCATTCAATGTGCCCAAACCCACAACTTTGAATGCTTGACCCTAAGCTTACTCCTTAACCCAAAGCCCCCCACCCCAAAACCCATGAAGATTTGCTGTATCCCTATGCTCTACCCTAAACCTTAAACCCTAAACCCTAAAGTTCTATGCGTACTGCAGAGGAACAACAAGGGTGTCCTAAAGCTGGCAGATTTCGGCCTTGCGAGGCCAGCAGGAGTGGGTAACCATAGACTACGATTTGTTTAAGAACCTTTAAGCAATAATCTCTATATTACCCTTATAAGGAAGAATATTTTTTTTGGTGTAGTTCCTGAGCAAATAGTAGTAGAGGGGCCATCTTCATGCTTCCATGTGAGTGATCGGCTCACAGTTAGAGTTTTCGCCTTGCCAAGAAGAAGCCTTCGCCCACTATGGAGGCAGCATCCCAGCTAGCCAGTCCAAAATTGTTTGAATCTGCAGCTTTGACAGGTCATCATGTGCGAGATGCCGGGGGTTCAAACGAGACGCCACGTTGAGGAAAGGGGTTTGCGGTGTGCTGCTTATGGGGCTTAGAAGTTTTTAGGGTTTTGGGCTTAGGGCCTGTGATAATAGTCTAGGCGTATGAAACAGATATGGGCCTCATGCAAGATCCTGCTCGACGTGGCACTCACCGGCGAGCCGACAGTGGAGTTATTCTTCACGCAGGCCTACGATATGAGGTTCCATCACCTCATGCGATGCGTTTATGAAGCACTTGAGAATTGCGGCTACCTGTCTCTCGGGATGGCAAGAAGATTCACGGGAGAAACCACTTGTTCGCGCGGAACAAATGGTTGTTGCGAAGGGGTGTGCGCCTGTGGGGCGGGTTCGCCAAACGGCGGCCTGCCATTTTCCTCGGCCGTCAGTGCCTGAAGAAGAGGCCTCTCTAAGAGACTGCTTCGCAGATGCTACATTTTTCCGTTTTGAAAACAGTGCTGCCTTGTTCCGCTGCACCGCGCTGCTCTTATAGGGTACCACGAGCAACTTGCATACGCCCGGGCAGAAATCAATGGGAAGGCGGACACTGGGAAGGCGGACACCGCTGCAGGTGTAACGCATGATGCGCCCTCAGTTTAAGTCGAATTAGCGCTTCCAGGTAGGTCAAGCAATCTGCGCGAGTGAGGTCTCAACGGCAACCAGTGAGCCCTAGAAGCTGCAGCGGCGCCCGCGTAAGCCCCAGCACAAAAAGGCGCTGAGCGTCAGCTTGCTAGTACTGTAAGGCCGATAAGCAGCAAGCAACTTATAGTCCATGTTAAGTAGATAGAAAATGGGCTATATGGGGATCTTATTGAAATTTCATTTAAGTAAGACTATAAGCTCGGGGAACCCATGCTTTTTCTCCACTGCTTTTGCTTTTTGCCTACATACTTGCTATTGCAATGGGAACTGCACTACTATTATATACTATAATATATTTTAATGAGATTATACTATAAGATACTATGATATATCATAATATATGCTCATATATTATAACCCCTATACAATCCCTATAATATTGTAGTTTCCAAATTGGAGGCTCAGCTTTCGGCTGTGAGCCCACGTTTTAGGGCTTAGGGTTTAGGGTTTAGTGCTTAGGTTCTAGGGTCATGGGGTATTCTGGATTTATTGTAGGAATTTGAGTTTTAGGGCTAAGGGATGTGCAAGGCTTCCATTTCATTATATTTCTTCTTGTCCGCTTCCTTGTTCGCCATCACTCATGCAACGTGTGTCACCTTGCGAGTATGTTTTTCCACATTTTCTAGCATATTCAGTAGAACATGCTAATGACTGAATAGGAAAATCAACTCACGCGGTCTCTCGGTATCCTAGTTATGAAATAATTGACGCTCTCGCGTTCTCATTGCTATTGCCACTCTTAGTATCATTGTTTTGATTTCCGCAAGCACGTTGAATCTCCAGGACCTCATTTTCGACATGTATCCTGTAACTTGGGCCTGCCAAACTTGGGCAAAGCACGTCAAGAAAGCCCTAAACCCCTAAACCCCTAAACCCTAAACCCCTAAACCCTAAAGCCTAAAACCTAAACCCCTGCTATCTGGTGGGTTGTGAAACCATGGTCCCTTGTCTGGTGCCCTAAACATGAGGGGCCGCAGCACACCAGGGACCCAGGAAGCGGCACACTTTTGACAGCCATTTGTACAGATAAGAATTGAATTCGAAAATAGTAGTTTCCATTTTATTTTTCATCATCCCGATGTATATAACCTCACCGTATATATACATATACTCTACTTAGTAGTTTCCATTTTATTTCCATCATCCCAATAGTTCTATGTGTGAGAACCTTATGGCTTGCCGTTCAGTCCTTGATATATGGAGCAGCAGCTAGTTCGTGCTGTTGCCCTGCTGCAAAAAGTCTGAAATTTTCATCCTTCCCAACCCTCCGCTCTGAACCCCAAACACCTTACACGGTTGTTTATTGGGTAGTTTATGCGGACTGCTCCGGCGATTTGTTCCTTCCAAACAAGCCTGAAGCCCACACCCGCAACAGGGAGTTCATGGACTGGCAGAAGCCCGTCACCGTCAACGTGGTGACGCTCTTGGGCCACGTTTTGAAGCGATTTGTAGTTTCACTTGTCAACAAGGTAGGGGACGATGGGGGGTGCATGACGGCCTTGGTGAGTATATGTAAAGTTTGTGAGTATATACGGCACGAAATCATGACTTAGAACAATTTCAGTTTTGTTGTGTGGCCGTGTTTCCAACTGCACGGATCCTCCTTTGACATCCTTCAGCACGTAGAACATCGTTCTTCCGACCATGATTAGCGTGCCTGATTTTTGAGGCGTGCTATTCAAGACTTGTATCTTTTGTAAAAGCTGCATGGAGGCTTTGTTACTATCAGTGCAGCCAGAACGTGCGATGATGTGCAACAGCATCAAGCCATTCAAACGTTTTATCCGAGACTCATCAAACCCTGAACCCAGAATCATCGACCCCTTATAGGATCGTTAAGCCCCAAACCAAACCCCTTGAAACCTTCAACACTTCAGCCTTCAAACCCTTAACCCTAAACTTACCTAGTCAGTAGAAAAGCTATGTAGATTTTTTGGCCTTCTTTTTTGAATCTCTAGAATAAAGTTTAAGCTTCTTTAGCCCTGGTTATCGGGGAAGAAAGTAAACCCCAAGCCTGAACCTCTCCAAGCTCAGACCTAGGTCCCTGATTGATCCCTACTGTGAGAAGCTCCGAAAACACTCAACTTTAGTCCCTAGACTCCTCCTTAAGTAGATAGGATATGGCTTTGGGTATATTATAATAAGATCTACTTAAGGGGGACTATAAACCCAAGCAACCCGCAGCCCCAAGTAATTATCCTTGCAGCTCCCAGGAAGGGGTCTCGGGGGTATCCTACTTGGGACATCGGATGTATAAACAAATGAATACATATATATACACATACATATACATGTTTTAGAAACATCCTCTTCAAAAAGTTTTACAGGCACCCCATTGAAGACACGCATGTTCCCGGCTTAGGCTTTGGTATCGCGCTCCGGAGCTACTTTTCGGTGCGCAGAGCTATACCATGGCGGTGGTCCCTAGATTTCAAAACGCAGTGTCTCCAAATGCCCCTTAGGGGTGTATTTGAATGGTTGTGTGTTTTACATTTTGGGGGTCAGACTTTTTGGGGTTGGGCTGTGCCAGTCCCACCTTTCCTCAACCGACAGCATCCCACAAGCCCAAAGCTTGTGACGCTACATGGGATAGTAGGCCAATAGTGGAGAACCAAGCAGAAAGGACCATGCAAAGTGAAATGGACGCCGTGGCTACATAGAGGCGTAGACGGGATATTTTCTAGCCCCAAACCCTCTCTGTACAGATCCCAGCCTTAAAACCTAAACCTTAAACCGCAATGCAAACAACCCCTAGTCTCCGAAACCGGAAACCTAAACACACAGGATTGCCACATGGTATCCGATTTAATAACCCCTATAGTAGTCCCCTCTATGATGCCTTATATAGCCCCCCTTTAAGGAGATTGGACTACAGCTCAGGTGAGGGTGGGAGTGTGTGTTGTGGGGCACAGCCCTGGCGCGAAAATGAGGAAGGAAACGGGCCAAAGTCTATCCACCTCACCACAGCAAGTGGTTTATGTATTCATATCAGAAACTAGAAATCCCCAGCCCGAATCTTGAAAACAAAAAGTTCTCTAATCCTGGGTAAAAACTCGTGATATCTACTCCTTCATACCCCAATACCCTTCATATCCCCACACATACCCCCTTTATAACCTCCTCTAGAAACTGCAATTCCCCAAATAGGGGGGGGGGCCCAACATAGACCCCAACATACCATAATCCTTATTATAGGGACCCCCACAAAGGTACCTCTAATTTTGGAAAACCCCAAAATGCCTTGAGGACATGTGGTCAGTGGGGTGCAACTTCGGAGAGCTCCTCTTGAAGCGTCCGCTGCTACCAGGCGGTGGGTTGTAGCTTTGAGGGATTGCGAGGTTGTAGCAGTCATGGTGGCTTTTCTGACGGTACATGGTTTGTGATGATCACTTAACACTTTAGGGTGTAGGATTTAGGGTTGAACTTAAGGTAGCAACAATGTCAGCATCGTGTAGGGTTTAGGGGTTTAGGGTTTAGGGGTTTAGGGCTTAGGGACCCTAAGCCCGGGGTTCCAGCCTGGAGTTTAGGCCAGAACTCCCCAATGGGCATGATATTGACCAGCTACGTACATCTCGTCGCAAGACCTGGGGAATAAGGCTGGTATAGCATACGTAGGGTCATGTGGGATTCAGGCACACTCCCAAAACCTAAGCCCAACCCCCTGAACTGAAAACGAAAAAGGTGTCGCGGAAAAACAGTAGTGTAGAGGCCTAAATAACTACTAATCTCATGGTCCTACTTTCCTAAGATTATTGTAGAGGGTGCCTGGAACAGACCTTGCAATAGACTTGGTATTATTTAGGCCGCTACATCCCTAAACCCTAAACGCAGCTGGAGGCAAGTGCGAGGAGCATCAGCTGCAGCTAACCTGCGCTTTGTTGGGAACTCCCTCGCCGCGGATATGGCCGCTCTCGGCTGAATAGCCCTTTGGTTTAGGGTTCAGGGTTTAGGATTTAGGGTTTCGGGTTTAGGGTTTAGGATTTAGGGTTTCGGGTTTAGGGTTTAGGATTTAGGGTTTAGGGTTTGCCAGGAGTTTTGGGTTCATACTTCATACAAGGGTTATTATCTCAGATATCAAGAAATATATATATATATGTATACATATCATATATATATACAGAGGGATTATAGGGATCTAGGCCTCAGGACTTCTGCAAAATTATGACCATGGTCGTTTCTTGGCGATTTCAGGGGAACATGAGAGACCCTAACTTGAGAAATTCCTTCTGGACTAAGGATGGGGTTCATATTGCTCCCCTGTTTTTTGAGAACCGATGCCGCGTAACTTTCATGACATCACCCCTTGATCCTAGAAAACTGCTGCGTCTGCGTCATCATCCCGAGGCACTAAACCCTAAACTTTAGGTGTGGGTGCTGGGGTTATGTAGCGGTTTTGTAGGACTGAAAAAGGGGTTAGAAAGGGACTATATAGTGTTCAGTGATATTCTCCCCAACAAGGGAGAATCAAATTGAGAAGAAAGCAGAACATGAAATAGAACTTGGGCTTACAGACAACCCTAAACCCTAGACCCTAAACCCTAAACCCTAGGGCTTTTCAGCCCCAAGCCTCTAGATCGTGTTATCGTCTCGTCGCTCAGGAAGCCTTTGAGCGGAGGGACCTTCCAAGCTCTTTGATCCAGGATTTTTTTGAGACCACGTGCAGGTAGCTGAAGGGATGTTCATTCTTTAGGTGTGCCTACATGCCAACATCCAACATGTGAATCCCTGAGCCCTAATCCTAAACTTCAAGACGTGAAGTCCAAACCCTCAAGTCTAATCCTAATCCTAGACCGAAAGTCCCAGCTTTCAACCCTAAACCCTGTAAGATCCCAAGCTTTATCTCGAGAGCCCTGAGCCTAACAGATGAGCCCCAAGTCCTTCAAGGAGCTTTGGTTAGTTTAGGCCCCTCACCCAGTAACAGTAGTATAGCAGGAACATAGTGGGGCCCGAGTATAGTTGCCAGCATCCCGTCAGGTCACTAACTGTGGGTAAACCCTAAACCCTGAACTTTAGACCTGAACCTTGGACCCTAAACCCTGAACCCTAAATCTTATTTAACCCCAATATAACCCTTAACCTAAGATGTTAGGCTCTTTAGAACTCTGAGGCCAGGGCTCGAGCGCCTGGCCCACTATGGGAGCTTCAAGCTGCCGGAGAACCTGGGTTAATGGGTTTTAAGGGTTTAGGGTTAAGGGTTTTAAAGGTTTTAGGGTTTTAAGGGTTTAGGGGTTTAGGGGTTTTAAGGGTTTTAAGGGTTTAAGGATTTAGGGCTTAGGGTTTAGGATTTAGGGTTTAAGGGTTTAGGGTTATGAGAATCTGGGCCCATGGTTTAAGGGGTTATAGTATAAGGATTTATAGGGCTATATAGAGGTTATAATAAGGATTTATAGGAGTAATATAGGGGCTGTAAAAGGATTTATAGGGGTTTGTATGAGGATTTATTTCTGGGGGTTATATTGGGATAATGGAAAAGAAAATGGAAACGACTATAGTCTATCAAGGTTAAATGGGGATTAGGGTTCAGGGTTTAAGCGTTTAAGGTTTTAGGGGGTTGCGGTTTAGGGTTTAGGGTTCAGGTCTTTTGGGTTTAGGGTTTAGGGTAGGGTTTCGGGGTTGACGGTTTAGG